TCTTCAGGGCTTTTTGTTTTATCTCTTCATCTTTCAGTACTTTATATCGAGTAGTATGGTTTTTCAAATTTATGACATCTTGTTCCATTTTGCTACTTCTGCTGCTTTTTCTGACACTTTTTTTCGCATATTGCTCTGTACTTAGTTCTTTCAGTTGTTCTTCTTTCTTCTTTTTCTCTACGTTTAACTCATTTAGTTTCTTTGTGTGTCTGTCATATTCTAGTTTCTTTTCGTTTTCACTTATTTGCTTCTGTATGTCTATGTTTGACTTTTGACATCTGTTATTTGATTTTTGAGTGAACTCAAATTCATTTGACTTTGAGGGTTATAAGCTGTTCCGTCTGCAGCTCCACCATAGCCTGCCATTTTCGCTAAAAGTGCCGCTCTTAAACCTCCACTCTGTGCACCAAGAACTCGCGTTTTAAAAGCATAGGATTGCTTGACATTTGTTGCAACATAGTGGGGTCATTCAGCATTTGTTGTTGCAACTGTTGTTGTGGTGTCAGTTTTACTTTTTGGATGTTTCAATGCTCCCTTCCTCTTACGTATATTCTTACGTAGCTTACGTGGCATTTTAAGTGAAGTTAAAAAGCGGTTTTTGACAGATGTTTTATTGTGACTTCTTCGTAAAGACTTTGTTGAGATTTCTTCGTAAATGAGTGTAAATGACCCAAAAATATATTTTAGGTAGAATGGGTATATCTAACCCTTCTTTCTAACCTCTTTTCTACCCTCTTGAATTTTCATGAATTTCTTCGTAAATGTTTTGTCAAGACTTCTTCGTAAAGACTTTGTTGAGACTTCTTCGTAAAGACTTTGTTGAGACTTCTTCGTAAATGACCCAAAAATATATTTTAGGGTAGAAGCGTATATCTAACCTCTTTTCTAACCTCTTTTCTACCCTCTTGAATTTTCATGAATTTCTTCGTAAAGACTTTGTTAAGACTTCTTCGTAAAGACTTTGTTGAGACTTCTTCGTAAAGACTTTGTTGAGACTTCTTCGTAAAGACTTTGTCAAGACTTCATCGTAAAGACTTTGTTGAGATTTCTTCGTAAATGACCCTAGTAGTATATTTTTGGTGTAAATTTCATGAAAATTCAAGAGGGTAGAAAAGAGGTTAGAAAAGAGGTTAGATATACCCTTCTACCCTAAAATATATTTTTGGTGTAAATTTCATGAAAATTCAAGAGGGTAGAAAGAGGTTAGAAAAGAGGTTAGATATACCCTTCTACCCTAAAATATATTTTTGGTGTAAATTTCATGAAAATTCAAGAGGGTAGAAAAGAGGTTAGAAAAGAGGTTAGATATACCCTTCTACCCTAAAATATATTTTTGGTGTAAATTTCATGAAAATTCATGAAAATTCAAAGAGGTTAGAAATGAGGTTAGAAAAGAGGTTAGATATACCCTTCTACCCTAAAATATATTTTTGCCGAATTCTGTATAAAATTCTGAGTAAAATGACAGATGTTTATATGACACTTTCTCCGGTTTATAGGACCTCTCTCATATTCTAAACATCCTCAGGGCTAGAGAAGCACAGAAGTGCCTGGAAGCCCCACTTCCTTTTTTTTTTTTTTTTTTTTTTTTTTTTTTTTCAATTATTTTTGGTTTTATATTTTTTTGGAGATATCATATTTAATGTACAGAAAAGTTAATATTAAACAATACATGCTAAAGAATTAATAAATAAGATAATAAAATAAATTTATACGTAATTACTTTCATTTAATATGCTTTATGCTGTATAATATTGATTAAGAGGCATTAAAAGGTTCCATAGTCTGCTTTTATAGGCAAGATTTTTGATAAAAATTTAAAATTTTGAAAAATGATGAGAAAAGGAAAAAAAAGGTAAATGAGAGCAAGAGGAGGGGAAAAAAAGAAAAAGAAAGGGAAGGGAAAAATAAAAGAAAGAAGGACATATAAAAATTTAGATGCGCATTCTTAATGCCGAGGCGGCTTGCCGCCGAGGCGCGATTTTTTTAGGCCTCTACGGTAACCCGGCAATGTTTTTTTAAATCTTGTACAGCCCTATACACAATCGATGTACTGAAGAATAATCCGGTAAAATGATGATATAAAATTAGATTATTTTACAAGTAGCTAAAAGAATAAAACTATAATATAAAATAAATGAATTTTAATAAAACAATAAAGGTTAAATAAATAATAAAGATTTTTATTTTATATAAGTATTGAGAAGAAGTAACAGCTGACACTTGGTAGACAACTTCTTTATGTCTAGAAAATTCTATCTTGCCTTTTATTTTTTTCTCGCTGTGAAACGTATTCGGTCATTTTTTAAAAATTAATTTTTTGTTAGAGATAAGAGCTAAAACTCGGTAAACAACTTCTTTATGTCTAGAAAATTCTATCTTGCCTTTTATTTTTTCTCGCTGTGAAACGTATTCGGTCTTTTTTTTAAAAATTAATTTTTTGTTAGAGATAAGAGCTAAAACTCGGTAAACAACTTCTTTATGTCTAGAAAATTCTATCTTGCCTTTTATTTTTTTCTCGCTGTGAAACGTATTCGGTCTTTTTTTTAAAAATTAATTTTTTGTTAGAGATAAGAGCTAAACTCGGTAAACAACTTCTTTATGTCTAGAAAAATTCTATCTTGCCTTTTATTTTTTTCTCGCTGTGAAACGTATTCGGTCTTTTTTTTAAAAATTAATTTTTTGTTAGAGATAAGAGCTAAAACTCGCGTAAACAACTTCTTTATGTCTAGAAAATTCTATCTTGCCTTTTATTTTTTCTCGCTGTGAAACGTATTCGGTCTTTTTTTAAAAATTAATTTTTGTTTAGAGATAAGAGCTAAAACTCGGTAAACAACTTCTTTATGTCTAGAAAATTCTATCTTGCCTTTTATTTTTTCTCGCTGTGAAACGTATTCGGTCTTTTTTTTAAAAATTAATTTTTTGTTAGAGATAAGAGCTAAAACTCGGTAAACAACTTCTTTATGTCTAGAAAATTCTATCTTGCCTTTTATTTTTTTTCTCGCTGTGAAACGTATTCGGTCTTTTTTAAAAATTAATTTTTTTGTTAGAGATAAGAGCTAAAACTCGGTAAACAACTTCTTTATGTCTAGAAAATTCTATCTTGCCTTTTATTTTTTTCTCGCTGTGAAACGTATTCGGTCTTTTTTTTTAAAAATTATTTTTTGTTAGAGATAAGAGCTAAAACTCGGTAAACAACTTCTTTATGTCTAGAAAATTCTATCTTGCCTTTTATTTTTTTCTCGCTGTGAAACGTATTCGGTCTTTTTTTTAAAAATTAATTTTTTGTTAGAGATAAGAGCTAAAACTCGGTAAACAACTTCTTTATGTCTAGAAAATTCTATCTTGCCTTTTATTTTTTTCTCGCTGTGAAACGTATTCGGTCTTTTTTTTTAAAAATTAATTTTTTGTTAGAGATAAGAGCTAAAGCTCGGTAAACAACTTCTTTATGTCTAGAAAATTCTATCTTGCCCTTTTATTTTTTTCTCGCTGTGAAACGTATTCGGTCTTTTTTTTAAAAATTAATTTTTTGTTAGAGATAAGAGCTAAAACTCGGTAAACAACTTCTTTATGTCTAGAAAATTCTATCTTGCCTTTTATTTTTTCTCGCTGTGAAACGTATTCGGTCTTTTTTTAAAAATTAATTTTTTGTTAGAGATAAGAGCTAAAACTCGGTAAACAACTTCTTTTATGTCTAGAAAATTCTATCTTGCCTTTTATTTTTTTCTCGCTGTAAACGTATTCGGTCATTTTTTAAAAATTAATTTTTTGTTAGAGATAAGAGCTAAAACTTTGCAGACAACTCCCCCATGTCTAGAAAATTTAACATTCGTCTCCCATTTTTATATATTTGGTTTAGAATGTTCGAAAATGCGTAATATGGTCATTTATATTATTTGAAAAGAACCTTATATTAATTCAATCTGATCTCACAAAATACTTTAAATTACAAACCTTGTCGTTTGAATAGATAATTAGTATTAAACTCAAATAACTAGTTTATTTTTGAATAAAAATTATTTGAATTTATTTAATTTTGTGAATTTTCCTTCAAAAATCAAGTTTAAATATCTTATTTGGCATATAATTATAAATACAATGAAACATATTCGAAATTGAAAAGAATGACTTTTTCTGTTCTTTCAATCATTCAATTTGAATTTTGCAATATTGGATTTCTCATTAAATAGCTATTAAGAACAACAAGCAATTTAACTTACTTTCAAATTTATTTGTGTTATATTCACTCTTCTCAAAACTTATAATTTTCGGCTATAGCATGCTTATATGCTATATAATATAATAAACCTATAATAGTATCATTCTTTCAATTATTTGAAGAGAAAACCGAAAAAATCTATTTTCGGTCTATAACACTTATATTTGAAATGCTCAATTTGAGACCACTTAATACATTGAAATATCATAAATATTGAAATATTAAAAAGTGTATTTCAAAATATTGAAATTATAAAAATTTATAATACTGAAATTGAGACAAATTAATAAATTCAATGTCTTTTTTTTGAAATAACTCTCAAATATTATTTTTTTGTATATTTAATGATGAATAACTATGATTGCTTTAGTCAATCATAAAAACTAATTTAAGTTTAAAATAATGAAAGGATAATTTGATCGTTTTTTAAAATACAATTATTTTTGATGATTTGCAAGAATCTTTGAAAAGAATATAATATAGCTTCTATTTTTGTAAAATTTATCCAAATCATGTATTACCTAAGCGCGGGTTGTGTGACTTTTTTTGTTACATCTATATATAGACGATGCATTAAAATATATTTATTTATAAATCATTAAAAAATTAACATTAATTTTAAAATAATTTATTTTTTATTTTTTATAAAAGAAACTATATATAGATGATGTCAGATATTCCGCGATTAATTAAACATTGTTTAAATCCTGAATGGGTTAAACTTCAATTTAAAAATGAAGATTGTGAATTATTAAATGAATATGAAAGCCAAAATAAGCTAATGAGGTATAAATATAATGATAAAGAATATTTAATTTCATGGAATCAATGGAGTCATAATCAAAGACCTCATAAACGAGAAGAAGAAATTGAAAATAATGAAATGGAAATCATTGATGACATTAAAGAGGATGGAATTCCTAAATTTTGTAGAAAAACCTTTAGAACTCAGTTAGGAGCATATAAACGTAGAGTATTAAATCCTGAATATCTTAAACATATATTTAAAAAGGAAGACTGTGAATTATTAAACGTTAATGAATATGAAAATGCTAAATCAAAACTGAGATATAAATATATTGGAAGTGATTTTAAAAAGATTGCACAAAAAATGAAAGGAGTTAGTTTACGACAAAATAAACAATTAACACCTAAAAATTATTTGGATATAATAAATGATAAAGTGATATTTGATGGTCAGAATATTAATTTACAACTTAAAAACGGGTCAATGACTCGCTTAACAATCGGTAAGACTGCATTAACAGGAGCACACACTAAGGCTGTATGTTGTGAAAATGGATGTTGTATGCCATTTATTTAATAAAATGCCACAGAAGAGACAAAAGGAACCGTAAATAATGGTTTTGATACTATGATTCAAGAGGCGGGCACCCTTAAAACACTTATTTTATTTTTATATAAATGAATAGCGTAGATTTAAAAAATTTAATTGATGATTTAGTACTTAATCAAAATTTTCTTAATTATTATGAATTAAAATCATATCTCCAAAAACATGATAACAATATAACGGGTGATGATATGGATTATTATTATTCGTATTATAAAAATGAAGTTTTGAAATATCATGATAAAATAATTTCTAAATTAAAGACAAAATTAAAAATAATGAATATTCAAAGGGAAAAAGTAAATCACAACTTAAACAATTGAAAGATTTCAAAAATAAAGTATTAACAGAAGAAGATATTGATGAATTATATAAATTATATAAATTATATAATCCTGAGCCGCAAAACCAAAGGAACAAAAACAAAAGGTGCAAAACGCCCAGGTCCTTCAGACCATAAATGAAGCACAAGCTTTAATTTATGATTCATTAGTTAAACCATATTCAGCCCGACTTTTAAATGAAGATCAACTTTTGGAATTCATCCTTCAACATAAACTCGAAGCGGGAAAGTATATCAAACCTTTATATACAGCATATTTAAAACAAATGAATAGAATACATCCAGAATTAATGAAGGGGGGAATGAAATCCAAAATCAAAGCAGATAAAATTAAACCACCTACAACACCAAACCTCCAACGACAGTCCTCCTCCTCCTTCAGTTAATCCTTCATCATTCACTTTATTATATCCATTTCAAACATTAAAGAAGCAAAAAGATTTTAAAAAGGATTTCAAAATATTAAATAAACCAACTGACCCAAAAATTCAACCGTTAAAGGAAAAATTTAGTCGCCCTTCATTTGCACCATATCCATATTCATACGAAATCGATCATTTAGAATATTCAAGAGGAAACGTTACTTATTTATTTGCCATTAACATTAACACCAGATATTTATATTGCATTCCGGTGAAAGGGAAAACAGAACAGGAAACAAGAAGAGCTATTCAATACTTACTAGATCATGAAAGAGTAGATAATATAAGGGGTGATGGTGATAAAGGATTTCAGGCAGCTATGGCTCATTATTTCCCACAAATTAATTTTTACTTTTCATCCTCTCCATATACGTTTCATAATAAAATAGTTGATGCAGTAATGAGAACTCTTAGAGATGCGTTAGGGGTTAATGGTCAGATATACTGGGATGGAAATCATGACTCCATCATACAGCAGTTAGTATATTATTACAATAATACATGGCATAGAACAATAAACATGAAACCGGTGGAAATGAAAAATGATATTTCAAAAGAATGGGAATATATTAGAAAGCAAATGGAAAGGTTGAATGATGTTAAACGTGAACAAATTAATTCGGGGCTCATGAATTTTAAACAAGGGGATAAAGTTTTGATTCATCTCGATTATGGAAAAACTGATAAATCAATGACAAAAAGAAGACGAAGATTTGACACAATAGCTGAATTTGTTAGATATATTAACGGCAATGCATTAGTTGAAGTTGACAATAAATTAATAGAAATTCCGATTTATTTTATTACTCCATTATATTTAAATAATATTTAATTTTTTTATTTCGTCAGAAATGAGTGACAACGAAGCAGTCAAGAGTCCAGACGATGAATATAAAAAGAAACTAAACAGAATTAAATCAAAAATATGTTATTACAAAAAGAAGCCACAATGTGGTGGGGTTGAAAACGATAAAGAGAGGAAAGAAATAATCGAAAAATTAGAAACTTACCGTTCAATCCTTAAACTGAGTGAAGCAAAAATAAAAGAATTTAATAGAATAAATAAATTGATTGGAAGAGATGAATTTAATAAAGATGAATTTTTAAACTCAATCCAAATTTAATTTTTATTCCTCTTCGACAACATCTCTCTTTCCATCATTACCGCATAACCACATTTTCTCAATTTTAGTGGTTTGTTATTTTTAACATGTTCTTGCATCATTTTTATCATTTCCTCCCTTGTTATGATTCGTGGTAAATTTTGAGCTTGTGGGGTATTCATTTATGATAAAAATAAAAATTTGTTATCACTTATTTTATCGTTAAGTGACTCAAAGAGTCCGGAGACAAAGTCTCATGGTTTTTAGGTTATTCAAAAATAATTATTTTTGAAGAACTGAAGGTGCTACCATGTTACCATGTGCTACCAGGTCATTTAACTTCTCTGAAAAATGTGACAACATGACATTTTGACAACAGCACAGGAGGAAGGTAGTTATGAATTATTTTTGAAGAACTGAAGGTGCTACCATGTTACCATGTGCTACCAGGTCATTTAACTTCTCTGAAAAAGTGTGACAACATGACATTTTGACAACAGTTCAGGAGGAAGGTAGTTATGAATTATTTTTGAAGAACTGAAGGTGCTACCATGTTACCATGTGCTACCAGGTCATTTAACTTCTCTGAAAAAGTGTGACAACATGACATTTTGACAACAGTTCAGGAAATATGATGCAGCCCAAAAATAAAGTTAGTTTTAAAATTATTTTTATTTTTTATTCCTATATAAATGACAGCAACAAACAACAACAACAACTATATCGTTTCTGATGAAAAAGTTATTGATTCATTAGCTGAGGAATTAGTTGTGGCAGAAACTAAAACCCTCAACGAAAGAATTGGTGAAAACAGGATTGATTTACATAACTACCTCAAACATGATGGAGGAAGAGGAAGGAAAACTGGTATGGCTTTATTAGTAAAAAAATCAAATTTAACGATTATAGATGTTGATATCAATAAATCGTACAATGATGAACTTAAAGAAACAGTTAGAAAAGACATTTTATCAAAACTTTCGGATAAAGATGTTATCGTTAAAACCGCTTCAGGAGGTCTTCACATTTATTGCAACACTAATTTCTTCTATGCAGTTTCGAACAGAATGATTAAATGTTATTCCTGCAATGATTATGATATTGATATCATGACTTCTATGGATGATTCAAAGCGTTCTTTAGTGGTTATGGCTGATTCAAGAGTTCGCAAGAATGCAACAGAACCAATCAATACATACTCATTCATTCGTGGAAGTTATGATTCAACATTAACTAGAACAGTGAATGATATATTAAATGATTTGAATATTAAGGTAAGAGTTGAACAGAAGAATGAAGAAATAAAGACTATCATGAATGAAAACAAAGATGTAAACATTGACGATAAACTAGCTCAGAGCATAGTTGATGGCATCTGTGATTTTGAAGTACATAATGACGGTGGAAACATGAATTTAGAAAAAGAAATAACATTATTCACACTGTTTCAAGCTATTAATTCGTTACCGGCCGGATCATTTAATTAATGAAGCATACGATAACGTTTATAACTTCTGCAGTTTAACAGAAAATGCAAAAAGTAATTTTGAAAAAGCACGTAGTAGATATGCACATTTAATGACTTCTCCATTTGTTTTAGTGAAGATTCTAAAACTATATCAAAAGGAATATTATGATGAATATGTTTTACCTTTATTACGTAAGCCAAAAATAACATTTGATATCAAACTTGATGACTCGTTTTTGATAACAGATATTAGACGCAAGGCTGAAAATCATCAGTATAAAAACAGTTCTGAAGTAATTGAGGATTTATCACGTGTAATCCGTTTTGTAGATTGTGGAAATAAATATTTCATTCAAAAGGACTATAATATCCACGACAAAATGAATCAAATATCATTTGTTCTTCAGTCAAACATGAAAGAGTCACTCAAAATGATTAAATTATTTAAAGAAGAAGGTAAAACCATAACAGCATGGGATGTACTACTAAATCAATTGTCTTCATTAACCGTTAAGGGTGTTTGCTTTAAATCTGATTCCCCAGATGTTTTCTCAACGTTTCAAGGTTATAAATACAACGTTCTCGAAAAACCAGATTACTCAAAAATTGAGATGTTTATGAATTTCATTAAAGAAGCCATTTGTGATAATAACGATGAAGTGTATAAATACCTTCTCGGCTGGATTGCATCAATGATTCAACATCCCGGAATCAAGAATGAAACAGCAATTATTTTGAAAGGACTTCAGGGAACAGGTAAAAACAGATTTACAGACATTATTTCTGAACTTCTCGCTGGTTATTCATGTAAAAACATTACCGAAATAAGTGAGCTAACGGGTAATTTCAATTCAGTAGTTGAAAATAAAATGTTTCTTGTACTTAATGAACTCAAGAATGTGGGTGAAGACAGACTCGCAAACTTCAACGCTTTGAAATCAATTATTACGGATAATGAGATAAGAATTAATGAAAAGAATCAACCCAGAAGAACAGCTCAGAACGTTGCAAACTTCATTTTCGTAACTAACAACGTCTACCCTGTCAAAATTGAAGTTGGAGACAGAAGATACGTAGTTTTAAGAGTTAATGGTAAATTCAAGGGTCAATTTGATTACTTCAAGAATTTAATGGATTCATGCACAAAGGAATTTTATGATAATTTACTGACGTATTTTATGCAATATGACCTTTCATCATTTAATGTACGAATCATACCGATGACTGAAGCCAAACAAGATTTAATTGAATTATCATCAAATCCTTTAGATGTATGGATAAATACACATTATGATGAATTGTGTGCAGGTATGACGTGTGAAAATGCTCTATTCTGCAAACCATCAGACATGAAAGACAAAAACTTTCAAATGAGTATTAAGGATAAATGTGATAGGAAACATAGAAGAATAGACGGTAAACAAACATGTATTATGTTTTGAAAGAAGAAATGAAAGGATTATATAAACAGGTTGAACCAAACGATAATGAGGAATCATTTACTGATGATGAAATACCTGTAAATGAGCCGCTAAGCGGCGAGACCTGAAGGTCTAGCTTTATAAAGTATGATTGGAATTTATTTTTGCATTAATCCTGCTGTGTTGTCAAAATGTCATGTTGTCACACTTTTT